AACTGAGCCACACTTGCAGGGCTATAAAAAAATTTTCTTGACCTTGGATTTGACAATGGATTTTTATTTTATTTTATTTTTTTATTTATTTTATTTTTTTTAATATATTTTATTGATTTTTTACAGAGAGGAAGGGAGAGAGATAGAGAGTTAGAAACATCGATGAGAGAGAAACATCGATCAGCTGCCTCCTGCACATCCCCCACTGGGGAAGTGTCCGCAACCCAGGCACATGCCCTTGACCGGAATCGAACCCGGGACCTTTCAGTCCGCAGGCCGACGCTCTATCCGCTGAGCCAAACCGGCTTTGGCGACAATGGATTTTTAGATATGACACCCAAAATACAAGCAACAAAAGAAAAAATAAAGTAGATTCACTGAAATTAAAAACTTTTATGCAAAGAACATTATCAAGAAACTAAAAAGACAAACAAAAAATGGGCAAAAATATTTGCAAATCATATATCTGATAAGAGTTTAGTATCTAGAATACATAAAGAATTCTTACAACTCAACAACAAAAAGACAAATAGCCTGATTATACAATGGGCAAAGAACCTGACTAGACAATTCTCCAAAGAGATAAAAATGGGCAACAAGCATATGAAAAGATGCTCAACATCATTAGTCATTAGGGAAATGCAAATCAAAACCATGAGATAACACTTCACACCCACTAGGATGGCTGCAATTAAAAAAAGAAAAGAACAATGTTGGTGAGGATGTGGAGAAACTCAAACCTGGTGGAAATGTAAAATGGTGCAGCCATATGGAAAAGTTTGGCACTTCTTCTAAAAGTTAAATATAGAATACACTGAAGATTATAAATATAGAATATATAACCCAGATTATTTACATCTATGTGTTATCTAATTATATAGACTTTTAGCATATAAATATAGGATATTTAACCTAATTTGTGTAATTTACATAAATATAGATTATAAATATAGAAGTACTCAAATACTTGTACACAAATATTCACTGCAGTACTATTCACAATAGCCAAAAGGAAGAAATAACTCAAATGTCCATCAACAGACATATGGATAAACAAAATGTGGTATATTCGCACAATGGAATATTATTTGGACATAAAAAGGAATGAAGTGCTGATCCATGCTACAGCATGGATGAACCTCAAAAACATTATGCTAAGTGAAAAACGCCAGACACAAAAGACCACAAATAGTTTGATTCATTTATATGAACTATCCAGAATCAGTCAATCCATACAGACAAAACAAACCGGTGGCGGCAGGGGCAGGAGGGGGAAAGGGAACTGAGTGCTTAATGAGTACAGGGCCTTCTTTTAGGGTGATGAAAATGTTTTGGAACTAGACAGAGGTAGTGGTTACACAACACTGTGAATGTACTTAACAGCCACTGAATTGTACACTTGAAAATACAGCAGGTCCTCGGGTTACGTCGGAGATCCGTTCCTACGTAAGTCAGAACCCACCTACATAAGCACCTACATCACTCACATGGAGCACATACACAGCAGTAATGAAGTGAAAGAAGTAAAACAAAATTTAAAAGAAAAATAACAATTCCTGACCTTTACTTGTGATAAATAAATAATAAAAAACATAAAGCACATATATACATACGTCGAAATGACGGAATTTTTTTTTAATAAATACTGTAAGTGGGAGATGGCAACATAACCATGAAACTATGTAGTAGTCGAGTCCGATGTAACCTGAGGGCTGCCTGTAGTTAATAGTGTGTTATGTAAATTTCACCTCAATTTTTAAAAAAATAAAACAAAACTCGAAAAACTCACTTATGCTTTGGAAATTAGGAGAGTTACTGTTCGGGAGTGGCAGGGGGCTTCTGGAGACTGTCTTGTTCTATTTCTTGATCTGAAACTAGTTTGGGGATGAGCTTATGATCCAGGCACTTAACCTATAGTGTTTTATACTAAGAACAAGCTAAGAAGACAAAAGAAACCTAGAAGAAAAAACATCCCCACAATAATCCCAGTTTACAAATGAGGAAACTGAGGCACAGAGAGGTCCCATTACTTGCCCAAGGCTCATAGCTGTTGACCAGAATAGCTAGGATGGAGCTGGGTTTGCTTTGTCCACGCTCTTGACCACGACACTGTCTGCCTCTAAACTGGCAGATAGGACCAGCCTAGGGGGGCCTGGCAGAGGCTGTTCTGGAAAGGGAACCAGCACATAGCATGAGCCACTCCAATAATGGTGCTCTCACTTCAGCCATTCCTTGAACAGACCTTACCAGGCAAGAAGCAGCCTGTGGGCCAGGCCTTGGAAGCACTGGTTCAAAGTCAGAGGATGCAGTGCTGCCACCTTCTCAATGGAACCTCAAGTCAGTCTTCCTGCTTAGACTCAGTGTCCTGATCTGCAAGATGCCCGCCTCACAAGACAGCTAAGAAAATGCAACAAAATCGAGCTTGCCTACAGCACAGCCCATGCCTGGCACAGAATGGGCACAAAGTAAACTGGGACTGCTATTATTGTAAACACCAGGGGTGGGTTAGTGCAGGTGCCAAAACAGCTGCAGTCAGCAGAAGCCACCTTGCCTTGCCCATCTCTGCCAGCTGCTGCTCAGAACAATGGGCACTGAGAGGCCCGGGAGTGAAACAAATACGTGTGTGTGGTGCGAACCCAAGGCAAGTGTGTCCCAGTCAGGCCACCTCAACAGCTCATTTGGTCTCCCTGCAGCACAAATGAAGACAGTGAAGGCCCGAGAGGGGCTGAGATTCACTTAATGCTCTCAGCAGACCTGGACTAGAGACAAACCCCCATCCCTGCCACAGTCCTCCAGCCACCTCCAGGGCACCCACACCCCAGCCCACACCCATGGGCCTTGGGAAAATCAGGAGCTTGAGACTCTGGCCCACAGACCACACTGGTCTCTGCCCACCCCCCCCCCACCCCCACCCCCCCACACACACAATCTCAACCATTCATTCAACAACTGGTTACTGAGCACCTACTGCATGCCATGTCTTTTCTAGGCACTGGGGCTACCGCAGCAAACAAACTGGATCAAACCCCTGCCCTCAAGGAGCTCACAGCGTCAGAGGCCTGTGTTGTTAACCCATTTTACAAATGTGCAACCAAGGCTCAGAGAGGTGACAGCTTACTCACAGTCACACCCAGAGGAAGTGGCAGAGCCAGGGTTAGAACCTTGACATCTGCCCAGGTTCAGAAAGTTCCATCAATGGCCCCAAACACAAGGCCCAATCTGAGAGGTAGACTGACATGTCCTGAATGACACCCCTGTCTTTTGAGGGCAACAGGAATAGATCTCCCTGCCCAGTCTGATGGGGGAGGCCTGGCCTGGGGAACTGCCTCTGCCCCTCATCACTGCTGTCTGCAGCCTAGGACAGGGCAGGACGGGTGGGCATTTCTCCCTGCTCCCTAAAGGCCAGCCCCATCAGCCTCCCTGCCCTCTTCAAACATGCCTGTCCACTCCCCTCTCCAGACTCGTGGGCTGTCCCCTTCACCCTCATGCTCTTGCCTCAGTTAGCCATGGGACTCACTCCCTTGCCTCCCTCAGGTCTTTATTCAAATGGGCCCCTCTCAGCGAGGCTCTCTCTGAGCACCCTGTTTATGGCAGTGCCCCCTGCCTGTTTCACAGCCCCTCCTGTACATGATGCTTGGTTTTTCTCCATGGCCACTGCCCTCCCCATTAAATGTAAGACATGAACATGAAGACGGGGATTTTGCCTGTTTGGTTCACTGCTATATTCCCAGTGCCCAGATAAGTGCCTGGAACACAGCAGCTGCTCAATAAATGTCTGCTGAATGAATGAAAGTACACGAAGAGCAGCTATCACAGGCCTGAAACCCTCCCTCCCTAGAGGAAGGTCCAGGAGGCCAGGACAGCCTGCCTCCTTCCTCCTCGGCCTGGACAAGCCAGCTCTCAGCTTGCGTTCCTTCCCAGCTGCACGCAGCAGCAGAGCCGGTAAGTGCCACAGTTTTATGGACAGGCAGCCTCGGACCTAGAGGTCTGTCTCTTAGTCTTTACCCTGTAAATACCTTCAGTCACTGGCTGCTCACCAGTACAACCAGATCGGTCACACCACAATTCACAACCCCCTCGGCTTCCAATCACCTAGAGCATTCCACTGTGCCACTTCCTCCTGCTCTCCCTCCCTCACTCTCTGCTCCAGTCACACTTCCACTTTTGTCCTTGTGTCACCTTTACCCCGCTCCCTTACCTGCTCCAGCCTCTGTTCATCTCCTCAGAACGACTTCCCCTGACCACCCATCTCTCTCCAGCCCCTTCCCTCTCAGAGTTCCTATTTTCACAACAGTACTTATCACCACTACCATCACATGTCTGCATATTTGTTTGTTTGTCCCCACCTCCCAATGGAATGGAAACTCCATAAGGGCACCACACTGTCCCCAGGGCCTGGGACACCCTGGCATAAACCACACATTTGATGAGTATTTGCTGAATGAGTGTGTTACTTCAATTAAGTGACTTCCCTTCTCTGAGCCTCAGTTTCTTTTTTTAATATCTTTTATCTTATATTTTTTTACAGAGAGGAAGGGAGAGGGATAGAGAGTTAGAAACACTGATGAGAGAGAAACATCGATCAGCTGCCTCCTGCACACTCCGCACTGGGGATGTGCCCGCAACCAAGGTACATGCCCTTGACCGGAATCGAACCTGGGACCTTTGAGTCTGCAGAGCCTCAGTTTCTTTACCTATAAAATGGGGCTATGAATGAAATCACTAGTGCAGAAGCAGAGCTCAAGGCTTGGCCTGCGGGCTCATGCAAAGTATCTAGGGAGACCTGGAGACTTGGCCCCAGGCAGAGCCACAGCTCCTCTGCCCAGACTACTGTTGAAGGATTTCATGAAATGAGTGGTAAAGAGCTACTGGCTGGGATGCTGTGAAGACCCTGCACCTCTGCTTCTCACAACATCAGCTGCCAGGAAGGGAGGGGAGGGGAGGGGGGAGGAAGAGAGAGAGAGAGATGCACAATCCCACAGGCATAAGTGGCCCCTTACCACGCTTGTGGAGCCAGCCTTCTTTGATGACAGACACCTCGTTCATGGTGGCAGCGTGACACGCTGTCACCTAGCTCAGGACAGTTCAGGGCAGCAGGACATGCAGGAACAGAGCACAATCTGCAAGACAAGAGAGGAGCTCATCAGAGTTGGAGGGAGACTGGGCCCCAGCCCCTTCCCAGGGGACCTCCAGGCTCTGTGGCCCCTGTGGATGCTGTTTGTTCTGTACATGGTGGAGCCAGTGAGAGTGGGAGAACTAGTGGGTGGGAGTGGGGGGGGGGGGATGTGGCTGTGTCTCCAGTGACCCCAATCTAGGGGTGGGGGAGCAGGAAGGACACAACCCTGGCCACAGAGCCCTACTCTGCAGGGATCAGAGCTCCCTGGCCTATGTGCAGGCCAGACCTGTGCTCAACACCCACGACACCCACACTGAGCAGAGGCAGCCCATCCACCCACCCTCACTCCAGGCTGGGAGGGTGGTAAGGGAGCTATGGTCCCACCCCCAGCGTCACTCCCATGCCCCAACACTGAGGTAACCTAGATGAATCAGACAGCCCTGGGCACCTAAGGGAGTGCTCAAAGCCAACAGCATCTGCCTGCCACCCCCCAGCACACACACACTCTCACTCACTCTCTCCTTTCCAAACCAGGCCAACCACCTGCCATCTTTAGCAAACCAAGTACTCCCACTCCCCGGCCTCAGGCCACCCCACTTCGCTCCCCAGCCTCAGGTCCCTCCTTGCCCCTATTTAAAAAAAAGAGGGCCTCAGGTGCTCCAGGAAAGCAACCTACTGTGCAGACACCTGTCTGGGGCCCAGGAGCCAGTCCTGGGGGCTTGATCAAGGCCCTGGTTCCTTCCCCAAGACCTCCCTTTCTGTCCTCAGGGACCAGCAGCTGATAGACTGACAGACGCCGAGGCTGCTGATTCTGTCTCAGGTTCCCAGGCGGGAGGGTGGAGGGGAGAAGGACAGGAGGCAGCCACCAGCCGGGCCCCTACCTGGAGCAGCAGGCCTGGGCAGGAGCCACGAGCCACAGAGCCCAAGGCGCCTTTCCCTTTCCTCGCCTAGGGTTATTTGCGGACAGCAGGTCAGGAGCTACCGAGCCCCCAGAGAAGTGGCAGCTGCCTCTAGGGACACTGTGGGCATCAGCTTTCTCCCGTGCCCCAGGGGAGCTGGTGGGCTGGACACACTACTGCCTGGCATGTGACCGTGGCAAGCTGCCGGGCTGGGCAGAGGGAAGGAGGTAAGTGGGAGGAAGCAGGGGAGAGACAAGATGAACAGTGACAGGGAAGTAAACAGCGGGCTGAGAAATCATGTTCTGAACTCCAACCTGCCAAGACAGGGCCAGAAGCAGCAGCAGGGGCTCCCCTCACCAGCAGGCATGACAGGCACCCCAAAGGACTCACACCTCATGAACCCAATACCCAGGACTGTCAGACCTTCAATCCTCAATGTCCCACCCGTCTGTTTTAATCACTAATGTGACCAGTTTCTCCATCCAGCCCTCCCTGAGTCTGGCTCAGGGCCAGCGCTATCCTTTCCCAGCAGGGTCCCGCTATACCTGCTCCCTAGACTCCTCCCCTTCTAGCTTTCCCTGATTCCACAGCTAGAAGGACCCTCAAACCTAACCCTGTCCTTTCCCTACTCAAAACCCTCCCGTGGCTTCCCACTGGCCTCGGGAAAGTGACAAGCTCCTAGGCTTGGGATTCAAGACCCTTCAGGACCCGGCCTCCGCCCGCCTGTACTCCTCTGTCTCCTACCCTGCTGACCAGGGTGGTCCCAGCCACCCAGTTTCCTAACCACTTCTCCCACCGGGCCCCACCTTCCCTCACCTCCCATCATCTCCTCTCCTCTCCCCTAACCAGTCTTCTCCCTGGGTTCTCAACCTCTGCACTCAGCTCCTACATTCCATCTAAGTCTGGCCTTCTCTCCCTGTGAGCCAAGAGGCACCTAGAAAGCCCTCAATAAAGGCTAATGACCATGACAATGATTACAGCCGGCACCACCTCCCCAATCCCTCTTCCCCCATCCTACTCTCTGCCTGCTTGTCACTTAGGCCCTTCCCTCTGGCCTCCATTCCCCACACCTTCGTGAGTTCTCCCTCCTGGAGGTCTCAGCTGAACCGATTCCTCCTCCAAGAAGCCTTCCTGACCTCAAAGGCTTCACTGGGTGCCCTCTGTGCACTTCCTCAACCAATTCTCCCCACACCTGCTAGTGCTCACAGTGAGCCAGCACAACGTCTGGGTATCGGCTGAGTACACAGTGAATGAATCCAAGTCTCCCCAGTAGACGCCCCCACTCCCCAGCCCAGGAACAGACACAGCCACAGAAACACTTCCAGAGTCCAATCATGCCACCCATTTGTTTGAGGGTGTCCTAAGCTCTAGAGACTATCCTGGGTGCCAGACACAGAGCATCACTAAGACACAGCCCCTGCCTCCGCGAAGCTCACATTTCGGTGGGGGAAGCAGACACATAACAATGGCAGGTGGTGGCGACCCCGCTGAGAATAAAAATAAAGCAAGAGAAAAGGACAGCAGGGAAAGGAGCTATGTCCGCCACATGCTGTGGGGGACATGTGAGCAGGGTGAGTCCTGAAATGTAGGCAAAAGAATTTCAGGCAGGGGAACAGCAAGTGCAAAGCCTCTGAAGCAGAAAGGAGCTTGTGAGCAGGGAGAACTGCCAAGGGTCCACGTGGCTGCAGGTCAGAAGCCAGGAGAGGTGCCTGGGAGCACACGTAGGGCCTGGCAGCTGTGGTGGGAGCTTAGGGAATTCCTCCCCAACACAGGGGCCAATATTGCACTTTCCCAGGAGGGAGTTCAGTTTGGAATAGTTCCCAAAGGGCTGGGACGGACCCAGAGTCCAAAGGAAGAGTGCTGTGGAAGGAAAGGACAGGCCCTGGTGTCCAATCTCAGCGCTCCTCTCCCCTCCCCTTCCCAACCCAGCAACTTCATTTCACCTCAAGGAGCCTCCGTGATTCAGCACTGAAGCGCCCAGTGTGTACAAAGGTTCAGCCCACAGCCCCTAAGGATCCGCAAACACATGGCTGCCGTGACAGGAAAGAGAGAAGCGAAGGCAGCCACGTGTGACCTGGAGTGGTCAGGGTTGCAGAGTCCGGGAGTCACTGCCAGCTGGGTGGCTGTGAGTAGGGTGACAGCGTTCCCATGGAGTCTTTCTTAACACGTTAAGCGCCCAGCCCGTTTTGTCTTCCGGACAGAAAGATAGTGTCAGTCACCAGTGACGGACAGGGCGCTTAATGTGTTAAATGCTCCCAACCACCCACCAGAGAGGCAGTGACCACACCTAGGGTAGGCAGAGGCACAGAGAGACAAAGCCGGTTACCTTGGGTCTCCCAGCTAAGCAGTGGTGGAGGCCCTGGCCCATGCTCGGCACACCAGTCACTTTTTACATTCTCATCTCAGCGACTAAGAAGCCAGCAGTAGCTTGGGCTAAGGCAGGGGGAGGAACTGGAAGATCCCTAGTTTTCCCGCCTGGATCCTGCCCTGTCCTCCCACTGAGGGTGGCGCCTCTGCTGAGGTGTTTGTGACGCAGTCCTGCGGTGATGAAACACCAGGCACCTCAGCCAAGAGGATGGCCTGCTCCCTGGGGAGCTGCGATGGAGGTCAGAGACCAGCCTCTAGAGGCCAAGTGTCTGCACACAGGGGGCCTGCCCTGGCCAATGGCCTGAAAGCAGCATGCCCCACAGTGGAGAGTACCTGCATGGCCCCACCCCCACTCCCTGCTGCTCCCTAGGCTGTCCAGATCTGAGTCCGCTGAAGGCCTGGGCCGGAACTGTAGCTGTCAGCTAGAGGAGAACCACCAGGTGAAAAGAACAAGGCACCTCACAGGAAAAGACACCACACAACCAAGAACACTCAATCTCATTAGTTACAGGGAAATGCAAGTTAAACCCACTCACCAGATGGCTAACAGCCAAGTGTTGACAATGATGTTAAGGAATAGCTGCTAGTCGGAGTATCAAATGGTCAACCATTATGGAAAACTGCTTTGCAGTAAGAACTAAAACTCAACATATGCCTACACCATAACCCAGCAACTCCACAACCCCCAATAGAGATGAGTGTATCTGTTTACCAAAAAAACATGCACTAGGCCAGTGGTCGGCAAACCGCAGCTCGCGAGCCACATGCGGCTCTTTGGCCCCTTGAGTGTGGCTCTTCCACAAAATACCACGTGCGTACAGTGCGATTGAAACTTCATGGCCCATGCGCAGAAGTGGGTTTTCGGCCTGGGCGAGTCTATTTTGAAGAAGTGGCGTTAGAAGAAGTGGGGGGTGTCGGTGGGTCCGGCGATGGGAGACTCGGCGCAGGCGGGCCGCGGATACGCAGCGTGGGGGGAGGAGACGCGGGTGATTCATGCACGAGTTGAGTGAGCAGTCTCATTGTGCATGGTTAGCACTAGTCGCGTCTGCCAAAAGTACCTACTCGAAAAAATTATTAAACTGTATATGCCATAATATGGTTATAACCATATCTACACTAATAAAAAAAAAGTACCTACTCGAAGCATAAAGTTACCTGTATTTTTCCAACCAGCTGCAAATCCTACAGGTATTTTTGTCATCAATTTAAGAATTGTAACTGTTTTGTGATGGTGGCTTTATTATTATCAAATGAAACATTTTTTTAGGTATGTTGAGATGGTTTGGACATATAGAGAGGATGAACGAAAGGAGATAGATGAAACAAGTATACAAGGCGAGCGTGGATGGGAGAGTTGGAAGGGGTCGACCTCAGCGGACGTACCTCAATCAGACTGAGGACGTTTTTAGCAAAGACCAGCTTCGGAGTACCCTAATTAAGTTAGTAACAATGTACCTACCTATCTAGTTTAAGTTTAAAAAATTTGGCTCTCAAAAGAAATTTCAATCGTACTGTTGATATTTGGCTCTATTGACTAATGAGTTTGCCGACCACTGCACTAGACTGTTCATAGCAGCATACAGTAACCCCAAAACTGGCAACAGATTGGATGCCCACCCACAAAAGAAAGGATAAACAAAATGAGGTTAATTCAAACAACAATAAAAAGGACCAAATTACTGACACATACAACGGGGATGAAGTGTAAGAATGTGATGCTGAATGACAGAAGCCAGAC